TAACCCCTGAGTTATCACCGGGTGTGACCCAAAAAAAAGCAAAAAAAAAAAATAGCCCTTCAAAGGGTGCGGCTGGCGTTCTTTGAGGCAGCTCTCAGCCTCGCTCCCGGCTGAATGGGCTGACATGCTTGAGGCACGCGAAGGAGCATCTGAGCAGAGCCCAAGGAAGCGTCGTCAGCCAGGCAGGCCTGCTCTGAGAAGTCCAACCCGGAGTCTTTGCCATGGGAACCCGCAGTCTGGAATTCGCTCCCGTGGCCCACAGGGGAGCTTCCGGAATTCGCTTCCGTGGCTCACAGCATTTTTTGTTTCCCAGAATGGGCTTCCCAGATCTTGTCTGGGACTCCCGGGTCCCCAGGGGGCTGGGAGGGGCAGGAGGGGAGATGGGGACGGAGGGTTAGCCTGGTTGCTCTCTGGCCCCAACCCACAAGCCCCCAGAGCAGAGGATTTCTCCCAGCCAGAAAGTGAACGTGCAAGTTGGTGTGTCTCCAGGAGGGGAGTGTGGGATAGAGCCCCCCACTGGGCCCGTCCCGAGCCCTCCCCTACATCCCTGCCCCCCTCACTGGGCCCAGTCCAGAGTGTAGGTTGTAAGTGCTTCACTGGGCTCTCCCCACTTCACAGCTCAGTCTGAAGTCAGCCTGTCCCGGCTGACGTCCAGGGGCCCTGAGGGAGGGTCCACGGGTGCTTGCCCACACACCTCCATGCCCACTGGAACCGAGTGGTCCAGGTCCACTGTGTAAAGGGGAGGGCATGAGAATCCGTGAGCATCAGTGCTGGTTGGGTCGCATTGACTCAGCTGAGCAGAGCTGGGCGGCAGTGGAAGGTGGAGGTGGGGGGGTTTCCCTCAGCAGCCTGGGAGCCTCCCCCAGAAGCCTGCGGGGGCTCCTGCAGGCCTGAGGTGTGTGCCATTCTGCTGCCTCTTTCTGAGGGTCCCAGAGCACGTTTGTAGCAGGGACAGTCCGGGGCATTCAGCTCCGCAGATGGGGTTTGTCTGTCGGGACCTTCGACACTCCCGGGAGGCTGGTGGATCTGTGTGTAGCCTGAAGGCAGACCGCGAGCCACAGCCCCTTGGGGCCACCTCCATCACAGTCCTCAGCCGTCGCCCAGAGCCATAGGCCTTGCGGCCTGGACTGCGGCTGGACTCCCTCTCGCCTCCCCAGAGGCGTCCTGGCAGGAATTCTCGTGGACAGCCTGTTAGCCAGAGCAAACCAACGGCACCAGAACGTTTGTGTTCGTGGGGGGTCAGGGCCGTCGAGCAAAGTGAGATTTTCTAAGGAAATAATTGCCGGCTGCGGGGGGCCGGGGTGGTGCGGCTCAGTCTCGGCTGGGGCGAGGGGCTGGCGGGGAGCAGCTGGGGGCCGCAGCGCTGCTGGAAGGTTGCGTCTGAGCACCCCGAGGGAGCACGCGGTGGGCACCGGACAGTCCAGGTGTGGACAGGAGTGCGGGCAGTGGGTCTGGGGGAGGGCCACGGGGCTATGGGACAGCCATGGCACTGGGGGTGGGTGCAGACGATGCTGTTTGTCTCTGAGTGTGAGAAGGGGCTGGGCTGCGGGCCGTGGTCACTGGCTGGGCAGGCTGCGGGCCGTGGTCATCTGCTGAGCGGCGGTGACGGCAGGTGTGACTGGTCCCTGCTGTGAGGACAGGAATTGTGATGTTTGCTTTCCTCCAGCCCCAGTTCTCTCTGATGGGAGCGCCCGGCTCGGGGAAGGGTCCCAGCGAGGGTTGCTTCGAACTCAGGAACCAGATTCTTGGAGTAGGCAGGGAAGACCAATGATACCTCCCAGCTCCGACTACTGAAAAGCTGGATGAGGAGAGCCCGGTGTGAGCACTTCCTCTGCCCTGCCCTCCATTCCCCATGCTCTCTCCTCCTCTCCCCTCCCCTCCTCTCCCCTCTCCATTCTTCTCCTCCCCCTCCCCTCCTCTCTCCTCCCCTCCCCCTCCCCCTCCCAACGCAGGCCCCTTGCCCGGCATCTCTCTGCTGTTCTCTTTGGCACCTGTCAGAGCAGCTGGGTTTCCTCTGAAAATCCGTCTTTAACAGGAATCGTTCATCACCTGCTGGGTGATTGTCAGGGCTGGAGAAGCCCGAGGAGCTGTGCGGGCGGGCGGGCGGCCTGTGGGACAGGAGGGGAGCACGGTCACGGGCTTGCTTGAGCCCAGGTCCCTGAACATCTCAGCCCGACCCTCTAGAGTGGACAGAAAGGGGAAGGGGCGGCCACGCACGGCTCATCGGAAACACGAGCACTTCCAGGGGGACGATATTCCCACAGGGAGTGCGGCCGTTTTAACTTTTCAAAAATGGGTTTTTTTTCTGGTATTCCAAAAAATTGTTGTTGACTGTATTAATCATTTGGGGCAAGTTTTCACTTTAAGGAAAATTGTCTTAATAAAAACCATCACCCGGTGGCCTCATTTGGAAATGGAAGCAGCAAGTTTGGGGAAAGGCTTTAAGACATTCTTTTTCTTTTTCTGGTTTTAGGAGAAAGGTGACAGGAACTGAGGCTTCTGTTTCCCGGGGGGCAGGAAGGGGTGAGCTCCTGGGTCCCCGGGTGGCCATTTGGCAACGGTTCAAGATGATCCCCTAATGAGAAAGGGCGTGTGTGGCTGCGTCCCTGGGCCTGGCTGTGTGTGAACGTGCATCTCTGTCCGCGTGTATCTGTGTGTATGACTGGGAGTGTACATCTCTATCTGACTGTGTATCTGTGTGTCTCTCTTGGACTGTGTGTCTACACAGAATATGTGTATATATGTGTCTAACTCTACGTGTCTGACTGTGTCCGTGTCTGAGTGTGTATATATGCGTGTCTGTGTGTCTGAGTGTGTATGCTTGTGTGTCTGAGTGTGTATATCTGTGTCTCTGTGTGTCTGAGGGCGTATATCTGTGTCTCTGAGTGTGTATATCTGTGTGTCTGAATGTGTGTGTCTGTGTGTATATGTCTGTGTGTTTATGTGTCTGTGTATATCTGTTGTCTGAGTGTGTGTATCTGTGTGTGTGTCTGAGTGCGTATATCTGTGTCTGTGTCTGTTTATATCTGTGTATCTGTGTGTCTGTACCTGTGTGTCTACCTTTGTGTGAATCTGTGTTAGACACTGTGTAAATGTCTATGTGTGTCTGTGTGTGTCTCTCTGTGACCTGTGTGCATGTCCTTGCATGTGTGTGTGTGATATCTGCTTCCAGCTATTTTGCAGATATTCTGAGACTTCCGTGTCAATCCCGGGAGCCCACCACTCGTGTCCAGTGTTCTTTGTGGGTATCCTGAGGACAGTGACAGCCGTGTCACATCCCTCCTCCTCTGCGTGCCGAGGTCTGGTCCTTGCTGTGGGCATATGTCCGGCGCCAGCCCCGACGACACCTCGGGCCACTTGCTCCCCGCGGCCCTTCCCCGGCCATCCAGCTGCCCCCGGCCTCGTCCTGGTGCCGTCTGTGTGTCACCCAACACAGAACAACCTTCCCTGTCTTGGTGTCGCCTCGTGGACTGATCCGGGATGAGTCCAGGCGGCGGTGCTGGCCAGCCACCATAAGCAGGGGTCAGAGGAGAGTCGCAGCTGGAGGGCCCTTGCTGTCCCCCTCCCTGCCGCCCTCCCTGCTGCCCCTGCCTGGAGAGAGGACAGCGCCGGCCATGTGGCCCTTCGGGGCCATCCCCGCCTCCCGCTGTTCCCTTCTGCTTGGTGCCGGGTTGAACCGGGTCCTGGGCACATCGGTGTGTCTCTTCCTTGCCCTGAGCATCTCCAGGACCCCTGGTGCTGCCCGCACCCCCGGGGGCATGTTGGGCAGACAGTCGTGCCATCCAAGCAGGGGAATGTTGACGTGAGGCGGGTCAGCACTGTGACCCCTGTCCCCTATGCACTGTCCCCGCTGAGAGGTCAGTCCATTTCACGGTGACGTGATGTGCAGGAAAATGTCGTGACAGAAAGCAGAGATGGGGGGCTGGAGCCATAGCACAGCGGATAGGGCGTTTGCCTTGCACGCAGCCAACATGGCCGACCCGGGTTCGATTCCCAGCATCCCATATGGTCCCCCAAGCACTGCCAGGAGTAATTCCTGAGTGCATGAGCCAGGAGTAACCCCTGAGTATTGCCGGGTGTGACCCAAAAAGCAAAAAAAAAAAAAAAAGCAGAGCCGGGAGCTCTCAGAGCGGGCACGAGGGGCCAGGGTCCGAGGCAGAAGGGGAGGGCCTGGGGTGGTCCTTGGGCGTGGAGATGAGGCGGGGCGGGGGGGGGGCTGCTCTGGTGACTTCTGATAGAAGCGGTCCTTTCCAGGGGAACTTGGCGAGGCACCGGGTCGGGCCCCTAGGTGGGGGCTGGCTGCTGGGAATGGCCTTGCTGACCCACAGGGACCCCATGGACTGAGCAGGCTGGTCAGATGGAGCACAGGAAGACAGTGCTCAGGGAAATACCTTCCAGAAGGAAGGAGGGGGGCGCTTCGTCCTGAGACAGACTGGCCTGGGCTAGGAGCAGCTCTGAGCTCTGTCCCTGAGGGGTCCCCAGGCCCTCCACCCACCTTGGTCTATCAGCCCGGCCAGGCTGGAGCTTTGGATCCTGTCACCTCGATTCCAAGTGACGTCTTCACAGCATTAGTATAAGCTTGCTGACAGACGATTATCTCTGGTCTATTTTACACGTGGCCATTCTGTCGAATAAGGTTCTTTTTCTCTGTAAATACGTAGAGAAGAGCCCGCGTGTTCAGGCGTGGTTGATTGCAGCATCACCTTGACCTGGCAGCCAGGGCTGATGGCGGGATGTAGACCCAGATCCCTGGGTCCACGGGGCTGACCCCACCTTTCCACAGCCCACCTCGGGCCGGGCCACTTGAGCCAGCGATGATCCTCATGGAGCCGAGGAACAGGATGGGCGTGTGTAGACGGAGCACTGAGCTGTGGGTCCTTACCCAGAGGCAGGGTCACGGGCTGGGTCCATGGGAGGGAAGGAGGGTGGGCCGCTCACTGCCCCTCAGCCCGGGCTGACGCAGGCGCCAGGGCTGAGCACAGTTCTCGTTTTGTTTTTAGTCGAAACAAAGGTACTTTCTGGAAGCAACGAGAAAGAGCCAGCTAACCCTCAGGATGTGCTGTCTGCCGCCCCCGTGGCCCAGACCCAGGAGTCAGGGGGGCGTCTCCCCGAGGGCTCTGGAGCTCCAAGCAACAGTGGTCAGGCCCGCTGCCCCCCGGGGCCTGCAGGGAGCCAGGGCCACGGCCTCATGCGTCCCAGAGCCCCTTTACCTGGCTGCCTTTGCCCTTCGCGAGGGACATGCCCGGCCCCCCTGGAAGACCCTGGTGTTCAGGTAGAAAGAGAAACCCCCGAAGGTAAGGAGCGAGGCACAGGGCAGGGCCAGCTCACAGACCTGGGCGACTCCAGCCATCGGGGGGAGCCCACGGGGTGGGGGCAGCAAAACTTCCTGTGAGTGGGGTGCGGGCAGCCTTGTGTGTGCAGCCAGAGTCCTAGAGACGGGAGCAGACCGCCACTGTGCGGCTAGAGAAGGTTCTAGACAGTGCCGGGCTCTTTCTGGGGCTGACCATTGTCCTCCCTGCCTACAGGGGCCCTTCTGAGTGGGGCAAACCCCCACGTATGCTCAGCACTTAACGCCCCAGGGTCTGATTGATCCAGAGCCCACAAGCTAGAGACTAATTTAGCATCTCAGGCTGAGCACTGAGCAGAGAGCCTGACACGGCCCCACAGGGACGGAAGCAGGCACAGGTGGGGGTGGGAGAGAGAAGATCCTCGGGGTCCAGCCGTACTCGGGAAGGGTGGATGCTGATTTCCTGACCCTCTGAGGAGCTTCCTAGAGGCTAGATGGTGCTGTAGCACTGTCCTCCCGTTGATCATCGATTTGCTCGAGCGGGCCCAGTAACGTCTCCATTGTGAGACTTGTCGTTACTGTGTCTGGCATATCGAATACGTCACGGGGAGCTTGCCAAGCTTTGCCATGTGGGCGAGATACTCTTGGTAGCTTGCCGGGCTCTCCGAGAGGGGCGGGTTAATCGAACCCAGGTCAGCCCAGTAGAGACAGTTTTAAATCCGAGATTCAAACAGTGACAGGGACAGAGGAAAATCACCTGGAACCCGAGTTAATCTCTAGGTCGTCTTTGACCCACGAGAGCAAATGCCACACCTCTGCGGCCTCCCTGGAGGCATCTGTTAAAGCTCCCTATGCCAGGCATGCAGCTTGGCTCCCCAGGTCTGCGCTGAGCCCCAGACGGGGTCCCCGGGCTACAAAGGCCTGCACAGAGCCAGCTTCCACTGGGACAGGCCTCAGGCAGCACCCGGGGCTGGTGAGAGGTGGAGAGCAGAGGGAGACGCAGAGCGTTGGTGGGAAATGGGAAACCCCGGCGAGTAGCCAAGAGTGTAGCCGAGAGCGTCAGGCAGGGGCTGGAGGGAGGCTGAGCCCGGGAGCAGGGACAGTGGGGGGCAGGCAGGAATGAGCGCCTGCCGCGTCCTAGGGTGGCTTCCATGGGAGCACTGGCCATGGGAGCACTGACAGGGTAGGGTGAGGGGTCCTGGGGTTGCTGGTGCTGATGGGGCGTGGTGGGGGCGGGATCGAAGGCTCGTGGCGTCCCAGTGTGGCTGAGTCGGGAGAGGGTGAAGTGGGCAGTGTGGCGAGATTGGCCCTCCCTAAGCAGGTGGGGGATGGGGGAGCCCCGGAGTCCTGCTGCAGTGGGAACAGGCAGCGGGTGTCTGGGGCCCTGGGGGCGGGAGGGGGGCAGGGACCCCAGGCGTATAGGAGGGACAGGAGAACCTGGCATGGGGAGTCCAGAGAGACGGTTGGGGACAGAGTCGGGGACCATGGCAGGAAGGTGAACATGAAGGTCAGGTGGGCGTAGGTGAGCAGTGCTCAGGGACCCCCTTTCTCAGCAGGCAGGGAGGGGGTGGCCCTGGTGAGAGAGCATCAGGCCAACTCCTCCCCCACCTTTCCCACCAGTTGAGGCCAGGCCAAGAGACAGAGACGATGAGAGATCTCTTTCTCCATCTCTATCTCCCCTGGGGAGGGGCAGGATAAGGGCCCTCCCTGTTCCCTGCAAACACAAGGCAGTCCCCCGCCCCACCCTGCCCTGCCCCAGCCTGGCTGGGTCCTGTCCCTGGACCTCCAAGCATCCCAGGGATGCAGGGACAGTCCACCCTGGAGCAGAGGCTCAAAGGCGTTTCCCTGCCTGATGACCAGTGGCTGGACCTCGTTGGCCCGGCATGGCCCCGGCGGTAGAACCAGTTGCGGAGTCCGGTTGGGGGTGCTGGCCTCGGTGTAATGGGCAAGGCAGTGCCTGTGGGCACTACTGGTTTCCAGTCTGTCTCCCATGTCGTCGTCGGCAGGGCACGGCCAGCTGCCCGCCCCTAACAGCGGCCCCTCCCGCAGGAGACTACACCTGCTGTGACCTGGTGGTACAGATAAAGGGGTGCGAGAGGAGTCAGGGTGTCCCCAGGCCCGAGTCCACGCCGCCGCCCCCAGAGCCAGAGGCACCCAAGCAGACTGGAGCCCCCGAGAGCCAACAGAGGGCCACAGGTGCCCTGACCCTGCAGGTAAGCCCTGAGCCCTTGCCTTTCCCCAGGACGTGTGCAGTGTCCCCCGGGTGTGGGGGCAACAGACACTGCCAAGGGAGGGGCCCACGGTGCAGGGGGGCGGCTGAGGCAGCCAGGGGCCAGGGGGTGCCCGACGGGGCCCGGCACACGGGCACCCCCAGAGTGGCCCGAGCCCCACCCAGTGCAGGGTGACTGGCGGGCCCCAGTTGGGCCCCACTTAGGAGTGCCTGGCACTTTAGCACCAGTCCTGGTGCCTCAGCCCCCAGGCCAGGGAGGAACGGGGTGTCCTGGGACCTCGGGCCAGGCAGTGACGGTGTGACATGGGGCCTTCTCGGGGACAGCCTAGCCCGGGTTCTGAGGACCAACCCGCGTGGAGAGGCGTGTGGGGAAGAGCCGAGACAGTGAGTCCTTGGGGGCTCATGGGCCCCAGTGGGGTGAGAACCTGGCATCACACCAGGCACCCGACAGGGGCGCAAGGGCCATGTGGAGCCCAGGCACCGACAGGCGATAGCCGGGTCTGTGGCAGTGAGGGCTGGGTGCAGGTGCTGGGAATTCCGACATCCCACCTGGGAACCCTGATGTCCCACCTGGGAATGTTCCATCCTCCAGGACATCAGGGTTCCCGGATGGGAATGCTGACACTCTGAGACAACTGCAGCTCCATCTGCATCAGCAGTTTTCTGGGCAGCTCTGGGTCCTTGGGGCCACAGTATCCTTGAAGGTCACCGTCCTTGAGGGTCACTGTCCTTCCCGGGTGCCAGGCTTCGGGCGCACACACAACTCCCCCCAACCCCCGTGAGGGCATGAGGCAGGAGCAGGCTCAGGGAGGACCCCTCGTGGGCACCTTGCCATTGTGCCCGCAGCCTTGATGGTGGTCCCGGCTGGTGTCTGCAGGGGCCGTGCCCGCCAGGCCTGAAGTCAGGGGGCCCGGGGTCTCGCACGCCCATGAGAATGCAGATGGGAGAAACTGAGGCACACTCTGTCCTGGGGGTGGGTGTCCACTGACCTGAGGGTCCCCCCAACTCTCCAGCCTGGGTGGCTGCTGACCGGCCGGCTTCCCGCTGATTGGCCGCTCCCACCCCCGGCCTCTGGCCGCTGACTGACCAGCCGCCCCCTCTGCTCCCCCCCTACCCCCCAGGAGGCGCTGCTCGCCCGGTGCCCGCAGTTTGTGTCACGCTCGCAGGAGCGGCTGAAGCAGCTGGAGCAGAAGGCGCAGCAGAGGAAGGCACGACGGGAGGCAGCGCCCAAGCAGAGCCTCCAGCCCCTGGCGCAGAGGAAGCAGTTCACCGTCCCCCATCCTCTCAGCGGTGAGCAGCGGGCCGGGCGGGAATCTTCGGGCCGGGCTAGGGGCCGCGGGAGGGCTCTGGGGCTGGGGCTCACACGCGATCTCCCTCCCCACCCCCACCCCCCTGCACCACGCCAGCCCCTGTGAGCTCGGAGACGGGCAGGGTCTGGTGTGTGGTTGGACCCGGACTTGCTGGTCCAGCTCCGAGCCAGTGGATTTCTTTGGGGTCAGGGCCCGAGGTGGCTGCCAGCTTGTGCCATCTGCCGTCCTGAACCCCAGGAAATGCACGAGGACCTCAAGCTTCACAGGCACCGTGCAGCCGGGTCCCCGGGCCTGTGCCTATGGACTCTGGGCCAGGCCATGCTGGAGGCCGGGTGGCCAGGAGTCCAGCTGGCTTCAGGCTCGCCCTTTCCCAGAGCTGCTGCCCATTGAGATCCTCAGGAATAGGCCAAACAGAGGGGGCGACCAGGCCTCGGAGAGTTCCTGAATCCAGAGTCAGGAGCCAAGGCGGGCCTTGCTGTGCTGCCATCCTCTGATTCTCCCTGAGAGCAGGTCCCGGCCCCGCGAGGGAGACCACGGGGTGGACTTGAATAAGAGTCTTCCGGGAAATACCCAGATTCGGGAAACTGGAGAGGAACATTTCCACTGGGGTCACCACCCAAGTCCGGCGTGTTGCCTGAAACTAAGACTCTTCCCTGCTCTTCCTTCATGCCAACCGTGTCCCCAGCACAAGTTGGCTCTGAGCCCCTCCCCCTCCCCACATTGTGGGGTGACCTGGAGCCCAGCTCCAGGTGGAGGTAGCTGTCCACCCTGTTTGGTCAGTGGAGCTGGACAGCAGGGTGGGGTTGGGGGCTGGGTCCCGGGAACCAGGCCCGCAGACCAGAGGATGAGAGTGACAGGCAGAGCCATTCCTGCGTGGACGTGTGTTCATAAACCACGCACGTGGCCACCACTGGTCCTCGGAGGGAGACTTCACCCCACCTTGAAGCTGGGCTGCTCGCTGTCCCAGCTCCCACACACCTAAGGGTCCAGGCGGGCGCAGCCTGCTGGCCGGCGTCCACTCTGACTGGACGGCACTCTGCGACATGGCCAGTTCTGCCTCCTGTCGGCTCGGGAATCTCGCGTGCGCTCACATGGAGCTGGTGCACGTGCCATCATGAACCGGGAACCCCTGCCAGGGCCCAGGTTCTAGAACGTGTTGGGTGCAGAGAGATGTGAGATGTTTGCCAGGGACTGGCCTCGGGGTCCCTCCCCTAATGCCATCTTCGGTCGTGTGAGTCCCCACAGCCAGACCCCAGTCTCGCTCCCCCTTGTGGAGGTGCGGGGACTCCCGCCCTACAGCCCAGAGGCACTGCCCATCCAGGGGACGCGTCCTCTTGCCCTGGAAACACAGAGGCTGCTGCTAAGGGGGTCTCCAAGTTGCACGCGGGGCCGGGATAGGGGCAGCGCAGGGGAAAGAAGCTGCAGAGCCCAGCAAGGCGGTCCCGGGGGTGCTCGGCTCTGCTAGGCCTGTGGACAGTAGGGAGCAGTATGGCTGGGCTCAGAGGGGTGGAGGGGAGACGATCCAGGCACAAGAAGCCGAGGCTAAATCGCAATGCGCGGCTCTGGGTGGGGTGGACAGTGGAACCACAATCTGGAAACTGAGGCAGAGCATGGGAGTTCTGGGCCATCTGACCTGGTGACCTATCCTTCTGGGCCCAGGGTCCACTTGCCAATGAGCAGGGTGCTCTGGGCCAGGGTCCCTCATCATTGCTGCAGCACCAGGGGCTCTGACGCTGACCACTGTCCACCAGGCAGTTCAGCTTCCAGGGCCTAGAGGAAATGTGTGTGTGTGTGTGTGTGTGTGTGTGTGTGTGTGTGTGTGTGTGTGAGTTGCATGAGCCGAGGTCAGCAGGGCAGCACAACAATGAGAGTGAAGTGCCCCAGGGTACATGGCACAGCACCTGGGGAAGAGGAGACAGAGTTACAGGCTAGGATAGGGACCCCGGGCAGCTGATAGTGGTTGGGACAGCATTGCCAGGTGCAGGAACAGTGTTGGCGGGTGAAGGAGCAGCATTAGCGAGTAAAGAAACAGCATTAGCAGGTGAAGGAACAGCACTAGCAGGCTAAGGAACAGAGTTGCAATATAGGAACAGTATGAGAAGGTATAGATGCAGCATTCATAGATGTAGTCCTGCGTTAGCAGGTGTAGTTACAGCATAGGCAGGTGTGGATACAGTGTGAGCAGGTATAGGGTCTGCATTACCAGGTGAGATACAGTGTTGCCAGGTGTAGATACAATGTCGGCAGATGTAGATACAGTGTCAGCAGGTGTAGCTACAATGTTAGCAGATGTAGATACAGCATCAGCAGGTGTAGATACAGTGTCGGCAGGTTTAGATACAATGTTGGCAGGTGTAGATACAATGTTGGCAGGTATAGATACAGTATCAGCAGGTGTAGATACAGTGTCAACAAGTATAGATACAGTGTTGGCAGGTGTATATACAGTGTTGGCAGGTGTAGATACAGCATCAGCAGGTGTAGATACAATGTTAGCAGGTGTAGATACAGCATCAGAGGTATAGATACACTTTCAACAGGTGTAGATACAGTGCTAGCACCCTCATGGGCAGGTGTAGGCCCATGTGGGCAGGTGGGCTGTGGACAGTTCCCTCACGTCCCCTCTCAGTGTGGTTGTCCCTCCCCCAGAGCTCCGAGCCACCATCCATGGCCTCCCTCTGAGCCAGGGGCCCCACAGCCTCCCGCTCCCCGCTGCTACAGCCAGACCTGTCTCCTGGTTCTGTCCAGCCCACCTTTCTCAGAGTGTCCCTGCTGACAATGCCCTGCCCCCCACCCCCAGGAGCCTGGTCATTCTCCACACTGCCACGCCCTAGCCGGGGAATGAAATCCTCCAGAAGACACTGCAGAGTTCTTCCTCCTGCAGCCCACCTCCTCCGGGACCCTCCTCCAGAGCAGACAGCACAGTGACAGGGACAGTGTCTGTGAGGGGGTGCTGGGAGCCCCAGGTGGAGCCTCATGGCCCCTTGGGTACTGTCACTTAGCCTGACCCCCCCCCCCCCCCCCCCAGACCGCAATGGGCAAGCACGTGCCTGAGTCTCCTGCCACAGGGGCTTCTGGTCCCTTCTCTTACTGGACCTCAGCCATTGAGCAAGTAACACCCCCCTGGAAGGCTGTGCCTTACGCCCCCAAATTTCGGACTTGGGTGACCTGGGGTGGAGATGAATTTGTCACAGATCCCGGGATGATCAGTCTCCTGGTCCCCCCAAGGGACCCAGAGCTGAAAAATGATCTCGAGGACTAACCCAATTCTCAGGCCTCTTCCCTGCCCCCTGGAAACAGGGGCTTGGTCCCGAACCCCCAGGACTTGAGTTCCTCAGCTGGAAGGAGCGGCTGTTCGAGACGTGGGGCTACAGGTACCAGAGAACTTTGTCCTGATATTCTGCAGAGGCCTAGGATTTATTCTCAAGTGTTCGTTCTTTCTTGAAACACTGTGGTTCAGAAAGTCGTTGATAATATGACAAGTCCCATCACTGATCCCATCACCAGAGGGACCTTCCCTCCACTGTTGTCCCGTCCCGCGCCCCCCGCCCCCACCCAAGCCCTCCCTCTCAGCAGGTACAGCGTGACTTATTTTACATGGCTTGTTACGACTAAATGGCTAATGAAATCGTCAAAAGTAACTCTGTGAAAGAAAATGTATGAAAATTGTTTTATCTCACCCGTGAATGGTTAAGTCCTTGTCTGCCCATCTCCTAAGCTGCTTGTTGCTAGTTGAGCCTTCCGGGTTATGGATTTTGTTGGGTTTAGTTGGCTTCTTGGTTACTTTCCCATCTCATTTGGTGGCTCCTACTGGGATGCAAGTTTATTACGTAAATTGTGTAAATGTGTGACTACTCAGTGTTGTGTGAGATTGTGTAAATATGTGATCCTAGAAATTTCAGGATCTGTACCAACGGGCCCGTGAGTGAGTAGACGTGGTGGCTGTGGGGTGTGGGCATGGCTGTGGGAAGCACATGAGGCTCCCGGGGAGGCTGCCCACCCCCACTCCGAGAGGACCCCAGAGTTCTCTGCCTGAAAAGCTGGTGTCCCTGGAGTTCTGTAGTTTGGCGTCTGCAGAGATGAATTGTGACGCAGTGGGTCGGACTGTTGGCGGGGTGGCAGCTGGGGGTCAGGCTGTAGGGGCCCGGTCACTCTCCATTGGAGGGAACCCCAGAGATTCCAGCCAGGAGATCCACGGAGCCAATCCTAGTGGCTTGGCGTCCATCTCCTTGGAGACTTAGTCCTGAGCACTCAGAGCGAGGCCAGTGGGTGTGGCAGTTCCACGAGCCCTTTAAGTGTCCCTCAGCTCCCTGTCACCTTCAGTCCAGCTCTGTCCTTGCTCTGAGGGAGGCAGACGCAGGACTGGTGAGGAAGAGCAGCCAGGACCAGCGGGGGTCACAGTGGGCTGAGTCCCACACCCAGACAAGGAACGGAGCTGGTGGGTGAGGGGGCTGCCTCAGACATGCCCAAGGGGTATGGGGACTCGCTTCCAGGTGCTCAGTGTGTTGGTGGCAGCAGACACAATCTGGGAGAGCCGGATGGGGGCTCAGCCTGTGCTACATCTGGAGACGGATTCGGGGGGTTCTGGTCCTGAGGATTCAAGGTGAAGTTCCCACAAGTGAAGCCTGTTGGCCCCAGGCCTCAGCAGCCGAGTGAACTCAGCGCACAGCCGAGCCCCCTGGGGGTCCTCAACCCCCAACCCCCGCCAGCCCCTGGCTTCAGTGTCTGGCGTCACCAGGCACACTTGGGGGTATGGCTTGGGGGGTGGGTGGGTAAGGATGGGGAAGAGAGGAGGAGCCAAGAGAGTAGAGGTGGCCCAGGTCTCCCTGACTTGGCAGGACACAGGAGGGACAGGAGGCGCACAGGTGGCAGGGGAGGGGGTGACACACCAAACTCGTAAGGTCACATCGTCTATGGTACTGCAACAGCCAGGCACCTGGGGCTGGGCCCCCGGGCTGGGGTCCTTCCAGGGAGAGCCCCCGGGTGTCTCCTGGTGCCGGCTCACTTCTCCCCGTTGGGCACCCCTGGGCTTCGCTACTCCTAGGACCGGGAAGCGAGCAGGAGCCCGGGCCCTGCCAGGCACCCTGAGCCCACAGAACCTTGATCATCACCTGGATGACCTGCTCAGAGCTGCAGAGATGGGGCCCGGGTGCGTGTCGGGGGAGCCGGGCTCTCCCTGCCCGTCATGCCAGCGCAGGGCCCCGTCAGCTGTCAGCACCAGGCAGCTGTTGTCTGCGTGTATACACGGGCTTGTGGGCATGTACATACGTGCACACACAAGCATGTGTACATACACACAAGCACACGCGCGCACACACGATGCTCGCACAGATGCACGTGTGCACACACACACACATGCACACACGCACTTGCACACACATGCACATACACATTGAGTGAAAAGATGTGAAAGAAAGTTTGATGCAGAGCAGTGCTGGGCTGTGGCCTTTACCTCACAGCTCGTTCCTCCCCTGTCCACTGTCTCAGAAGCATTTTCAACCCCAGGGACCCCCGGGGGCGTCCACACGGGCCTTTGGCTCTGACACTGGTTTGCACCGCAGCTGGCTCAGGCATCTTCCTGCTTGTAGACCTGACTAGTCCCCAAGTTCAGACACCCCCTTTCTTTTGGGGATGTCGGAGGGGTTCCCCAGTGGGGGGCAGGGGGAGTCAGGCCCACCCCATGTCGGTTCCAAAGTCCTCTCCTTGCATAATCCTAGAACACTGCGCAAGGCCAAGCCCAGGACAGTGGGGGTCACGTCACCAGGGGGAGACCCCAGCGGAGTAGAGGAGTAGAAGTAGGCGGGGGTCTTCTCCGGAACTCAGAGCCTGCGCCCCTGCACCCCACACCTGGTGGAGCTAAGTCACATCTTCAGTCCCTCCTGGCGCTGCCCAGCAAGCCTCGAGCCCAGCAAGCATCAAGCGCTGGGCCTGGTCAGGCCTGGAGAGGGCGGCTGGGGGCCCCCGCGCTCTTGCCCCTCGCAGAGCCCCGCTTCACGGCAGCGGGCTGGAGTGCGGACGTGGGGGTCGTGCAACTTCCCTGGTATCGGGGCAGGGGCTGGGGGAACAGCCACAGCTCGGCCAGGTGCCCCGGAAATGTGTGTCGCCTTTGCCCGCTGAATCGAGTCCTCTCTCCTTCCTTCCAGATAACTTATTCAAGCCCAAAGAAAGATGCATTTCAGAGAAGGAGATGCATTTGCGATCTAAAAGGTACTGGGCACTGTGGGACGCCCTCTCCTGTGACGGCCGCGGGGCAGATTGAGCCTGAAAGCTGACTGGCCGAGGGTGTGGGGGGTAACTGGACATCGGGATGTCCGTGTTGGAAAATCCCTGGGAACGGGGCAGGTCCGGGGTTCCGAGCCCAGAACAGCAAGGCTGTGGATCCTGATGGGACCGACGGGACACACTCTGGAGCAGGAGGGCAGCTGCCTCCCAGCCCTGGCGGCCAGCAGGCAGGGGTCCACGTGTCACGGGGAAGCCACCAGCTCCCAGCTGCCTCCTGACACATGGGCCAGCTGCCCGCCTTGCCTCTGCCTCGGTGGCCACTGGAGGCCCGCTAATCCTCCCAGCTGACGCCCACAAGGGCCGCCATTCATCCTCCCTGTGCCGAGGGTGGGGGCAGGGGTCCACGCTGACTCCTTGGAGGAGCACCCGGGGAGCCACCACAGCCGCCGGGAGCACCGTCAGCTTCTCACCACTCCCGTTTCCCTGAGAACACACGTCTGTGTGTGGGAGGCAGACAAATAGGCAGATAGACAGACATCCCACCCCGGCTCAGCGCAGGTCCACTCTCTGGAAAGTGCCCAGTGCCTGTCCTCCCTCTCTCCCCCCAAGCAAGTCCACCCTCCGCTGCTGAGCCGTCCACTGGGGCTTCACTAACTGGCTGGGCCCAGGGTGGGTTGGGCCAGCTCATCGGGCTCCCTTCCAGCAGACCCTGGAATGGCCTTTCCTTCCTCTCCGTTCTCTGTTACTGACAGGGTGTTGAGGGACGTCTTGTCTTTAAAATCCACACACTGGTGCCAATGCCAGAGTCCCTCCTGGCCACCAGCCCGCCAGCCCCTCACCGTCCCCAGGGACAGCCCGAGATAGATCCTCGGCCCTTCACCTGGGCCTATCTCTCAGCCGCACGATCATCTCCTGCTTTTAACCATGACCGGGCTGTCACCATTTTGTCACCAGCCTCCTTCACTTTGTGATGTTTTTCTCATGCCAGGTGGTCCCTGGCCACAGCCCACAGCCCCTTGGCAACACACACACAGAGCAGCCCTGGGTGTGAAGCTCCAATGCTAGGGTGGAAGCTCTTTGGAGAAAATTCTGAAGCAGAAAAGCCCACAGACAAGGCCCAGGGGGTCCGTGGGTAGTGGGCACTGGGACGGGTTCAGAAGCGGCTGTCCCGGCCACACCCCTGCAGGCCCCAAGTCTGTCCTGTCCTCTCCGGAGCTGGTGGCATTCATTCCCCTTCACTCCTGGACCACAGGATGAGGCCCGGGATATAGAGGCACTTGCTGACTCCAGCGCGTGGTGAGGGGACGAGGTAGACTCACTGTCCCTGGCCCCGTGTTGACCCAGTGAGGGGACAGGCCACAGCCTCTGGGCTCGCTGGGGCTGTGTCACTGGCCAGGGGCCTCTTCCTTTCCTGAGACGGCTGCTCGGTTGACGGCCCAAAGCCAACCTGTCCCCGCTGTCCTGGAGGTTTGTACACTCTGTGGCCACGGGAATACCGGAACAAAGGTCTTCTGCCTTTCCACTGGGAGAAAGAATGAAATATTCTAGCCTCTGAGCCAGGGGCCTAGAACCAACTGCCACACTCAGGCCATGGTGGCCAGCCCTGGAGCCCAGTTGGAGGGCTGGGGTCCTCCCAGCCAGCTTCAGTTAGGAAGTGGGGAAGGAGGGTCCCGAGTGTATGGACACAGCTGAATCGGGAAGACTGTGCGCCAGGAGCACCCATGGGTGTTTGATGCTGGTATGCTTTCTTCTCCCGTCACACACCTGCAGTCCCCTACCTGAGTCACAGAAAGGTCACGGTTATCCCAGGAATTGAGGCAAGTTCGTGCCCAGTAGGGCAAAGCCGTGGGCTTAGATCTCCCACTCTTTTAATAAGGCAGCAGTTGATTCTTTTAGCAACTGGCGAGACCCCGGAAGGGCTGGCGGTGGGGAACTGTCCCAGGCCCGCTGTCCGTGTGGACCTGTCCTCCCCAGGTCTGAGCGTTTCCTGGTGGCACGTGTGCGCAGGAACCAACAGCCACGAGGCCTTGGTGCCCTGGAAATGCCATCTGCATGTGTTTCAGAATCTATAATAACCTGCCGGAAGTGAAAAAGAAGAAGGAAGAACAGAAGAAACGGGTCATCCTGCAGAGCAACCGACTCCGGGCTGAAGTCTTCAAAAAGGTAACGCCTCTGGGCCGGCGGGGTCGCCTCTGGGCTTTCGGGCCGCCCAGGGTGACCGTGGCCCACGTCTGTCTCCTGCCTCCCTAGCAACTGCTGGACCAGCTCCTCCAGAGGACGGCCGTCTAACCCCGGCCTGCGCCCTGCCTGGGCCCCGGGGTCCCGTCAACGCTGGATAAGCCATTAAACGTCACATTCTCCCCGCAGCTGCTTTGACTACAGACAGTTCCTTTTTCTAAAGGAAAGCACAGCTTCCAGAAACGCCAACCCCACCCCAGCAGAAGAAATAACCCCAATGGGGACTCTCCGGGGGAAGGGGTCCCCTCCCCTCGGCATGGCACCCTCACCTCTTGGTTGTTGTTAATTTCCACCTTGACCTTGTGCTCCCGGTGGCTTGTGCTTTGCACTCCAAGAGAAAGGCACAAAGTCCAAGTTCCAGGACAAAATCCCTCCCCGAGGCGCCAATCCCCAACGCCTGCCACGTTCGCAGACCCCGACCCTGCGCCTGGAACTCTCAGAGCACTTTGGACACAGAGAGGCAACCTGAGTGACCCCAGTGGCGCACCCCCCCCCCCCAAGGTCCCTAGCAACCCCTTCCTCACTCCGTGTCGTTTCCACGGGAGCACTGAGACACGAGAAGCTGAAAACGTGGCAACTTCCCACCGCAACGCTTTCTCTCCCTGCCTGAACTGGTTTTATTAAAAGGAGCCGGAGGGTCCCGAGGCTGTCATTCATTCTCCCAAACGTTTGCAATGTCTGATATTTATAATGTGAGTTTGCAGAGTTGAGAACGACTAGATTTTATCAAAAACGGAAATAAAGGTATGATTACGAGGACGAAAAGATTTCCCTGTTGTCCATCCCGTCCCGTGAACTAGCGTGAGCTTGCGGCCACCGTGGTGGGTATTTGGAGCAAAGTCCCACGGAGGCCAAGCAGGGAGTGGCCGGGGCTATGGCCGTCCCCTCTTGCTCCTGCTCCTGTTCCCAGTCCTGCCCCTTCTCTCCCAGTCCTTCCCTTCCTCCTCCTCCTGCTTCTCCTCCTCTAGTTTCTCTTCCTGCCCCTTCGATTCTTCCTGCCTTTCTCCTCTTCCTGCCCTGTCTCTTCCTGCCCCGCTTCCTGCTGCTCCTCCTCCTCTTCCTGTTCCTCTTCCTGCCCTTTCTCCCTGGCTTTGCTGTCTTGCTCCCTCCCTCTTCCTCCTCCTCTGTAGGATAACACATTCTGTCCTTCCTGCATAGCCTCTGGTAGTTTAGGTTTATTGGGTTGCTCCCATCACAGTGCTCCCATTCCTCTGTGTTTATTTGTAACTTCTTTCTTTGTGCTCTGTTGACTTGTAAATATTGTTTTTCTCTTCTCCCTCAGTCCTTTGCATCGTTTATTCAGAGCAATGTCCTTTTTGTATGGACACAAGAAGACAGTATGTGCCATGCTTTTGTAATGTGACTCTCAGTGATATGTTCCTCCTGGGCATCTGTTCTCTCACCTAAGCCTCAGCTGCCCTTACTTCCTAGGGACCCCAAAAGCAGGGTCCCAACAAGGGACTGGATGGAACCAGGGCAAGCGGTGAGCTATGTGCGACCCTGGCATCCAGATGGGCCTGGTCAAAGTGTCTAATGCTTAAGTTAAGAGCTTGGTCGTGGGCAAATGCTGTCACGGTCCAAAAAGTAATAACTAGATTCATACCCTAATAGGATTAGGAAAGATTAGTCTGGCCTGAGCACTGTAGTCTGAGTCTGTGGCAAGATGTTCCCAGGAGAGCTGCCCTACAAGCCTCAATGGTGTATCTTTTACTGTGTCCATACAAAAATAACTAGTATTAAGATGTTGATTGAGGTTTTGGACTAGGGAAAGGAGAAAAACACCTCTTAAGGGGTATTTTGCCAGACAGGCAGTCAGGAAAGGCTTTGGTATGCCTCTGAGGTGGTGGTTCCTTCGAACCTGTTGGGCCCTCAGGAAGGGCTTATGTTGATTTGGCTACCAGACTGAGTGCAGTGTCAGCCCAGAGTGCTGGTGAGTTGGAGAGACAAGAGGGTTGGAGAGATGAGAGAAAGAGCAGAGAAGCAAGAAGGGGTGCAGAGAGACTAGCAAGGGGGACAGAGAGAGAAGAACGTAGGAGAAGAATACAGGAGTAGAGACGTGGAGAGAGAGAGAGAGCCCAGGCTGCGAGATGGAGCACGGTGAGATGAGTGGGAGAGACAGGAGGAGACGGGAATGAGAGGCGGTGTAAGACTAGAATGGGGAACTCAGAGAGACTGGGCAGGCGTGTGGGGAGAATGGAATAAGGGGCATCTGATCAATCAACCGTCTTGGCCCTCCTTTCATCCACCGTCTTCCCCATGACCTGGGCCGCCCCGGCTGGGGGAGCGGCCCAAGACCCCCTGAACGCAGGCGGCTAGGGGAAGAGCCGTCGGGGCCTCTCTTGGCCGCCCCTTGAAGAGTTCATACACTCCTCCTCTTCTGCCTGTCCTCCCCCTCCTCCTGCTCACCACCTCAGAACACAGTAGGGGCATCTGTGTCACCCATGCTGGGGAGAGAAGGTTGCCCTGCAGAGAGCTGGCAGGGGAATCGGAGCAGCGGGTCTCACCGGGGCTCCTCCCGGGAGTGTGCTCAGGAGTTGGCGTCTCACCTCGCTCTGGGGCTGGTGCTCCTCTGTTAGCAACCACCAGCCCTTGCCCGCGCCCTGTCCCTCAGCAACGACCTCCTCTGTGTCCATGCCACAAGTCACGATTGAGCCCCCCAGTCCACGAGAGGCCCGAGCCCCAGCCACAAGGCAGGTACGAGCCAAGCGGCCAGGGTCACACCTGGAGGTTGTGCCCACAGGCTGGGTATCAGCCACATCCAATCAGAGAGGAGCGTGTAGCCACGGGGACAGGGACAGGAGGTCGCACAGGGGCAGAGGTGGGAAGGATTGGTCGATCAGCGCAGGGGGGCGGGGGTGGGGGGATACACCTCCCCATTCGAGCCCTGGACGGAAACTGGACTGGATTTCGCTGCAGATGGAAAGATCGTGGCTTCCTGCGGAACAAGGCTGTCCACGAAGCCAGGCTGATGGGTGCTGCCGCCCGGCTGGCCCCGAAACCTTCCAGCACGCAGGGCCGTCTCCTCTCTGGCTCTGCTCCAGCACCCCAAACAGGGGACACCAGTGACTGCAGGCCACAGGGACCACCACAGATCTGCATGCTGAGGGGAGCACTTGGCCCTGAGCAGCCAAGCAGCCTCTTCCCTGCTGCCCGTTGTCAAAGCGCTCCATGGTGCCATGACCCGGAAGCACTCCCAGAGGCCCCGCGCTCACCGTGCAGAGCTAGTGAAGGGGCCTCATGCCAGGTAGGGGCATACAGCCCCCACTGACACATGCACGACTCATTCTCAGACTCCTCGCTGGCCCTTAGAGGCCGACTCCGAGACCACCAGCCCCGCCGTGGCTGTGGCAGCCTCAGGGTAGGCACATAGAGGCATCTCGCTTACCCGGCCCGGTCACGCTCTCAGATGCAAGCGTGGTTTCAGCACCCGAGGCTTCCTCCCTCTTCACCACCCTCCCGGGTGCCTTGTGGGGGGCCGTGCTGAAGCCCCGTTTATGTGCTTAGTGCACTAAGAATGTTGTTTTCAGGACTGGAGTGATAGCACAGCGGGGAGGGCATTTGCCTTGCACGCGGCCGACCCAGGTTCGATTCTCAGCATCCCATATGGCCCCCTGAGCTACCGCTGTTAGGACGCGAATCGTGATCTCCCTTTAACGACAGAGACTCCAGAGACTGCAAACAGCAAGCAAGGTTTATTGCGGGACTGGCTAGCCAGGGTCAAGCCACCTACACAGACACGCAGGCCAGCTAGGTGAGGCAAGACCCCCAACTTCTTCAAAGGGGATCTTATATAAGCCTTCACTGGCCGTTACAGCAAAGCCCGCGCATTTCATAGCCAATAGATTTGTAACAACATATACTTTCTTAAAGGTACTTTCTTAACCAATCCACTTGAAAGTACATCACTCCTTAGCCCATAGATTCAAAGATCAGCATTTACGTACATAGGCATTGTGACTAGTGGGCATAGGTAACTCGGACATTTGATTATCACCTGGCTCCCTTTGATCCTGTGGAAGCAGATAAGGGAAAAGTTCCTAACAGAGGTAACTTATAAGGAAGGGCCAACAAATGGTTTCTGAATTTACATCCCAGCTGGGAAGAGTCAACAAATGGTTTCAGAATTTACATCCCAATAAGGAAGGGCTTCACAGCTAAGGCTCTACTAGGGAGGGGGCAGGAAAGGGAGAGTTACTTTTTTTTAAAATATTTTTTATTTTTAGTGAAACACCATGAGGTACAGTTGTAGATTTACAATTTTTTGTGCTTGGGTTTCGATTATACAATGATCAAATACCCATCCCTCCACCAGTGCCCATTTTCCACCACCATGGATAATGTCCCTCCCACCCCCATCCCTCCCATCTCACCCTGCCTCTGTGGCAGGGCAATCCCCTGTGTTCTCTCTCTCCTTTTGGGTGTTGTGGTCTGCAAAAGAGGCTTTGAGTGGCAAACATGTTCAGTCCATGGTCTACTTTCAACATGCATCTCCCCTCCTGGGAGGATCCTCCAAACACCCTTTATTTGGTGCTCCCTTCTCTATCTGAGCTGCCCTTTCCCCTAGAATGCCCGGCTGGCCTCTAAGCTATGGAGTAATCCTCCTGGTGTTGATCTCAGCTATTCTTGGGTATTAATCTCATATTTTGTTTCTTAAGTTACTTATTAGTAGAGTTTTAACTCTGGAATCTCCCTCAGGGTCCCTAGGGACCTTACACCGCCAGGAGTGATTCCTGAATGCAGAGCCAGGAGCAACCCCTGTGCATCGCCAGGTGTGACCCAAAAAGCCAAAAAAAAAAAAATATGTTGTTTTCAATCGAATCTATGGTATTACTTTAGGACAAGCTGAGGTGCAGATCTGCTGTACTTTTCTTGATTGTCTCTAATTTCTTCAACGAACGTTCAAAGCTTGTTGTTGGTGTTTCTGTTGTCTCAGCAATCACCGAAATGCAGCCCAGCTGCTCGGAGGCTGTTTTTGCACTTTCTAAGGAGTGGACGCCCGACAGCTAACATCGAAGTACCCGGGGAGCTTGCCCAGTGAAGCCAGTCCTCAG